GGTTGGCGCTGCACAGATTCCATGATGGGTTTTAAAATAATCTCAGTGAGGTTTGTATAAATGAATCTTTATAAAGGTGCTATAAGACAACTGCATTTTTTTTTCCAAGAAGAGTCTTTGTCTGGAGTGATCATGACTAAGGCATACTACAAAAACATTTTTGAGGAGGATTTATGATGCATGATGGTTCACTCAGCTCAACCCCAGCAAGCCAATGAGGGGCCTGAATGAGTGAACCTCCTCTCATTGCTAACTGTTAACATGTGGGCTTCCTTTTTTTCTTCTAGAAAAATGCAGCTGCAATTGGGGTTTTCTTTGTACCTTTGCAGAAAAACAGCCTGGATATACTCATAACTAAATCTGCTTATTAAAGATGCATTGTGATGCAGGGAACCCATGAAAAATAACTCACAGTTGTTGCATTTTATCCCCCTCTAAATAAAATTTTAATCTCAGATACATTTCTTGAAGTGACATTTATTGTAAGCAATACAGTCAACAGAACCAAACTGACAGTGAACTGATGATGAGGATGGCCATTAGATGTGCACCAGTGGTCTCCCTCTTCCTCATACTCCTCTTCTTCAACCAAAACCTCCTCCTCACCGGAGGGCGTGTGTTCACAGACTTCCTCCTCAGCTGTTAAATTCAGAAGTTCATTGCAAGTTTCATTCTGACAGTAAGCTCAGGTTACCAGGAGCAGGATGGTGAGTTCTCCTCCACTGCCAAATCATTTTTGATGACTTCTTTCTGTTATAGCTGTCACACAGACTTTGCATCTACACAGAAAAAATTTTTTTTCATCAGTGTATTTCAGCACGGCTGTTTGCTTTGTAATAGAATGACTTCATGGTGTGCTTTTTTTGATTACAGACAACATACACAGACAAAGGCGAAAAGGTAAGTAATCTAATCATATGCACTGTACTACTGAACATAGGTTATTTAGTAGTAATGCTGTTATCAGGCAGAGAAAACGCTTAGCAGAAAGCCACAGCACCCAAACCAGGCTTTTTATTAATTTTGTTACCCATTGTCTTTCATTTTAGGCACACTTGAATATGTAATTACAACTTAAAAAAAACTACTTCCACCAATGATTTGTTTATTAAACCCCTATTTTTTATTTCTCTCTCTGCTCAGCATGAGCAGGGCAGGTTCCTCTGCTTCGATCATTTAACTTTCTGGGTTGGAAATGCAAAACAGGTATGTTAAGTCATAACTGCTTGTTGTCTTATACTCTTTGAGGAGCATATGGTTACTTTTGGGGGGGGGGCATTTGGGGTGGCAAGACTATTGGTTCTCCTGAGGGGTGGAGGGAACACAGCATGTAAAGTCCCAGTCTACAAACCAATTTCAAATGAAGTCAAACTTCACTAATGACCAGGAGATGGCGCTATCACACAGCCAACGTGTTGCAGTTATGCCTAATTCAAACTCAACAACGCACCATGAAAAAGAAATGTCCATGTTTTTCTGTTGAATACAAATCATTCTGTCTCCGACAGGCTGCCTCATATTACTGTGACAAGCTGGGCTTTGAGCCTTGGGCTTACCAAGGTTTGGAGACAGGCAGCCGTGAAGCGGTGTCCCATGTAGTCAAACAAGGCAAGGTAAAGGCACTTCAGTTCTTTAGGTCTGGAACCACATATCATCCAGAAAGGAAAATCACACACAGGATACATCAGCAGCATGAGAAGATTTCCTTTAGTGCAACTAAGCAAAAATATGAAACACTGGTCTGTGTAGGCTGAATTTGTGTTTGAATGTCACTGATTACAATTGATAGAAATTCATTTGTCATCAAGACCCTATTACTCAGCTGACCAGGAGCTGACTCAGCTGGTCTTGCTTTCTTGAGCAGTGTAGGTTTTAAAGACCCCTGCCACTATATAAATAAATATATAAGGCCCAAACTGTAACTTAAATGACTGAATGAGGTAGGAGTTGCTTTGACTGTAGCATGTTAATGTTTTCACTTTGTATTTCACAGATCATCTATGTGTTCTCATCTGCTCTCAATCCTGGAAACAAAGGTAATAAAGGCAGCGATCAGGAGCTGGGTCCACAATGTTACCATACCGTAAACACTTATTCTATCTGTGTTTTTCCAAAAATGTCACATGGTACAATTTTAAGCTAATATCTTTTTTTAAACATTAAAATGTAATAACTTATTTTATGAGAAATGTATTTAGCATGTACCAAGAAAAACTTATGTAATATGTTATAATTTACAATATAAAGTTTGAAACTGCAAAGGAGGAGCTTCTACAATCCAGTTCTCTGTTCTTCATGCACACATTCCTCATGCTCACATGAAATTAATTTGTCACACACTATTTTGTTTAACTTTTCTGCTCTTCTACAAATGATGGTTGTGTTTTCTGAACCTGAAATTGTTCAGGTAGAAAACATAAAACTTGCCATTTTTTTCAACACAAAAAATTGAAAGATGTTAAGATGACACTAAACATAACAGACTAGAATGACTACGTGTGGCGTTTCCTCAGAGATGGGCGATCACTTGGTCAAGCACGGGGATGGAGTGAAGGATGTTGCCTTTACAGTGCAGGACTGTGACTTCCTAGTCCAGGTACAGTAATACTTATTTTAGGAGTGCATTCTCAACTGCATTCTGTAACACTCACAGTCACATTTAAGGTTACATTTAATTACCAGTAATGACTTCTGGCAGATAAATGCTTTTGCTTTCATGGCGTATTAACTCACAGAAAGCCCGTGAGCGAGGTGCAGTTGTTATAAAGGAGCCTCACACACTGGAGGACAAGAATGGTAAAGTCCGGCTGGCTGTGCTGCAGACGGTAAGAGATGTTGCTAAGTATGAATTCTATGATGTTATATTGAGCATTTTAGGTGCTATTTCAATTTGAATTTCATTTGAGTTGGACTGAATACTTGCTCTTTTGTGTTTGCTGCAGTATGGTGACACCACACATACGTTAGTGGAGAGGACAGGATACAGTGGGTTGTTTCTGCCAGGCTTCCACCCTCCTCTGTTCAAGGACCCTTTATTAGCCAAACTGTGAGTAGACACATGTTACTCAGGTGTTCCTTTACTCATAACAATAACATGCAAATTTCAGATAAATGATATGTTTGTGTGATGTTGCCTCCATCTCTCCATGCAGACCAAGTGGAAAACTGGACTTTATTGATCATGTTGTGGGAAACCAACCAGACAATGAGATGGTTCCAGTAGTGGAATGGTAATGGACTCGGAACCTACTTATTGTAGAGTGTAAAAACATGTGATGTGATGGGATCTACAAGAGTGAAGTCAGGGGATGATAAGAGGAGGAGACAAAGGGTGTCTGAATCTTGCATAACTGCCTTTTTGGCATGAATGAGGGTTTTCTGATGTGGATCTCCAGTGGTTCTACACATCTGGATCTTGTTGTTACGCCATCGTATAGTCACGTAAAGGAGGGGGAAGGCAGTTCTCTTAATAAGCAAGCTCATTGGTTAATCCTGGAACGAGGGGTGTAACACAAGCTGGAGGTTTTTAGATGTGAAGAGTCTCATGGAACCAACTCATAATTCAAAAAGTCAGCTTCATACTTAGCAGGCTGCAATTTTCCAAATGCCCAATTTAGATCATGTAATGATAGCATCAATTCTGAGCAGGTGAACAATTACAAGATCATTTGTGCAGCTCTACACCAGTGAAAGGAAAATGATTTAATACATGACACATGTATGTACGATTATATGAAACATCTATGTAAACACTACAAGTGGTACTTCAGGAGGGTTTGACTCACCAAATTATGTTTGAACTGAAACCACTGTGACTGCTGAGCTCTGGTTCATAATTCTTCAGGTATCAGAGAAACCTTCTCTTCCACCGCTTCTGGTCAGTGGACGACAAGCAGCTTAAGACAGAGTTTAGTGCCTTGCGCTCCATTGTGGTGACAAACTATGAGGAGACTGTGAAGATGCCCATCAATGAGCCGGCCACGGGGAAGAGAAAGTCTCAAATCCAGGCATGTTTCCAACAGTAGAGACTAAAACATATGTAGACCAGAAACAATTTACTTGTACAGTAATTGATAAGTAACAGACATCCTTTCCCTATATTTTCACTTAGGAGTATGTGGAGTACTATGGAGGTGCAGGAGTGCAGCATATTGCCATGAACACATCAGATATCATCACTGCAGTAAGTCTACAAAATATTCTTTTGGGCTCTGTATGTGGATGCACCCCAAAAGCAGCCACAGCAATGCTTTGATGAATCCTTTATGTGTAGATACGTAACCTAAAGGAGCGTGGGATGGAGTTCATGTCTGTGCCGGACACCTACTACAACCAGCTGAAGGAGAGGTTGAAATACTCCAAAGTTAAAATCAGAGAGGACCTGGATGCCTTAAAGGTCAGGACTAAGATCATATTCTAACAAACATGGAGGACTGATGCTGTGAACCTCATGTTTTTATTTTTGGCCAAAGAGCATTACTGTACTGTATTTTTTAAATCATAAAAAAGTTCATTCACTGTCCAATCACAGTGAGTTTAAGAGAGATATTTTAACACAAACAAATATTATAGTTTATTTTACTCACACGCAGGAGCTGAAGATCTTGGTGGACTACGACGACAATGGCTATTTACTTCAGATCTTCACCAAGCCGGTTCAGGATCGCCCCACTGTGTTCTTGGAAGTCATTCAGAGACACAACCACCAGGTGGGGGCACCAGCTACCTATCTGATGAACACTTTTACAGGACGAAATACAGTACCAGATGACATCTGTTGTAGGCAAAGTAAATCATTAACTTAAATACATGATTTGTCCACAGGGCTTTGGCGCAGGAAACTTCAAATCTCTTTTTGAAGCCATTGAAGCTGACCAGAATGCCAGGGGAAATCTGACTATCCTGACACCAAGTGGTATTTCAAAGAACATGTGAACCCAGTTTTATATCCGCTCCAAAATTCTGAAATATCTCAGTAACTATTACTTTACTGTGAAAAGCAGCGATCTGTTGGAAGTGTTTATTTTATGTTACTTCATTAGTAAGACGAGTACATCACAAATTAGCATTCATAATGCAGTTGTTTCTTCTTGTAAAATATTAAAGAAAACCAATATTACTGACAGAAGCTTGACTCAAGCAAAACACTTATTTAAGCTTTCCAAAATGAAAACATTTAACTATACATGTATTATCATTTAGACAATGATTTCAGCAGACATGTCACTGTAACTGAGGCCTTTAGCATGATGTTTGTAGTGGCCGATTTTCCCTCCGTGTTGGAAGGAACAACAATTGCAATGTTTGAAATAATGGTTGCCATGTATTCATGAACAACCAAACATACAAATGTTGTAATATTTGTTTTCCAATAAAATGAGGACTTTCTTTTAGCAGCGGTTTCCAGTGCTTATCGGTCCATGTCAGACTTCCACTGATAAAGTAAAGCTCCAAGTGCTTGGTCCCATTCCTAAGTGCTGTTTAGGCCAGTTTATTAAATCAGTGTTCACTATACTGCACCACCACCACTCTTCAGCCATTCTCCAGCATGCTGCAGTGCTTTTCTGAGCTCCTGTAGGGTCTCCGCAGTTACTGACTGTACAGTTTGGAAGTGGATTAAAATGGCTTTTTGACACATATCCAGTGTCCGTGTTTATAATGTATATACCTCATACAAAGCTGGCTCTTGGGATCAGTATGACATTTCATTAGAAATTAGTTCAAGGAGCCTCGGCAGCTATCTGCTCCACACAAACAAGGAATCTTTGTTTCCTCAATGGGAAACTTGTAGTCATATGTGATCTCTTTGTTGACGCTTATTGGCTGACGGGAGTATATCACTATCTTCTTCTGAGACTCCACAGAGATGATCTTTGCATAGCAGTTAGGCTGCAAGACACACACGCACACACAAATCACAAATGCAAGATTGTAATGAAAATCTGAAGTTATTTTGCATTAAGTCCGAATTCTACTAAACTCTACTCTTACTTACATTGCAGCTGTGGTTAATAAACCTGGCTAAGTTCCCACATTTAGTGGCATCAATGATGGTGTCCTGATCAACCCGGAACAAATAGCTGCTTCCAATGCCCTCCTCCTCGTATCTCTGCTCCCTCATGTCAGCGATGACCTAAGCAAAAAGAAATCACATACACCTATGCATGAAAGTGTTGTTTACCATTATCACTCACACTTCTGGAAAGTACCCAGAACAACCAGAGGGTCCCAGTGGGCCCCTAGGGCAGTTCAGGAGAAACAATCAGGGGAAAATGTTTGTTTAAAAGCACATCTGTGGCATTTGTTAAGGGAGATACTTGCATTATGAATTTGTTTCTGAGCATTGTCATTAGTTTGTTTGTCTTACCTGTCTGATGATTTGGCCCACATACTCGATCACCATCTCATCTGCTGCTATTGGCTCCATGGCAAACAGGCCCCACTCATGGATGTGACTCCGGCTAAAACGAATCCTCTTCTTTCGAAACTGATATAAGAAGATATGAAGAGTTACTACTTGTTAACACAGGTGCCACCTGCTGCAAATAGACAGTGTTGCTGAGTTTTTTAAATGTCTCATATTTAGCCTGTTCAGTGTTTTATAATCACAACTATTCTGTAAATGTTGTAGCAGCAAGCTCAGTGGTAGATATCTGATTGGCTGGATACTACCATATATATACTGTATATAGGTGATTTGGGTGAATGAACTCTACTTAGTGGTAGTCATATGATCTTGCACATACAAATGTTCAGTGGCTTTATAAGTATATGAGGAATTAACAACCAAGTTACATACAATCAAACACAGTGCCATTAAGACAGACTAATTTATATCAAACAGACAGCACACTGATTTATAAAACTGCTTTTTGTCACATACACATATAGTAATTACAACATGTGGTTCAGAAAGGTTAGATGAAAAATTCATATTAAATCCTTCAGACTTGAAGATTCACATTGAGTGTACTTATCTTTATTAATATCTTACTTACCTTCAGCTGGTTGAACTTGACCAGGTCACTATCACAGCTAAAAGAGGACAGCAGGCGGCGCTGTTCAGACCTGAAGTCAGAGCCAGCACGCAGTGAGGTGGGTTGCTGGGCTGGGATGCACTTTCCCTGATGAAATATATAGACATTAAGCAATGAATGAAATAAACTATGCACTGAGATAATCTCAATTTCCTTTCTTTAATACCTGAATACTTGTAGATGGAAGCTCCGTGGTCAGCCTTGTGTTGTTGAGGTATTTCAGTAGGACTTTAGTCAGTGAGCAGCAGTTAAGGATGTCTAGTAAAGAATATTATAAAAAGTACTGTGGTTCTAAATACAGTTACTGGTGTATCTGAATTAATTATTTGTGCATCAATTCAATGAATAACTTTAAATTTTTTTAACCCCTGGGTTTTTTTTTTTTTACATTTTTCTAGAATAGTAGGATTTAAAATTATATTTTCAAAATTAAATATGTAACATGTTGGAATTAACATCAGTCATTTATGCAACAACAATCACATCTTTCAAAAATGATCAGTTACTTAGTTCATTCAGTGTTAACTCGCTTTGATCTCATTTAATTTTAACATGAAACTGATAAAATGGATATGAGGGTGAGGTACCCAGTGGGTGTCTCTGAGCCACCCAAAACCATTATCCTGCTCTTCCAGCCTTTCATATGTGCATTGCAGCAGCCTTGCATCCTCTTCATCCAGGCCCTGTTTCCAAACACTGTGAAGGATTTTCCACTCTTCATAGAGTGAACGCCACCTGCGAGGACAACTGTGAGAAGAGAGTGAACCAGTGATTCTTTTAAATGATCTGTGCTGATGATGGGTTCTCCATCTCCTCTTTAGCCTCCTCCACTGTTTTCGCCTGAGTATAGATTTCTCCTCATCCAAAAGGCCAGGCATATTCTCCAGTCCCTGCAAAGGCTTTGTTTTCACACCTGAACTGATCCAAACAGCCCTCCCATCAGCAGTGTCAGATGAAGACTCAGAGAGGCTGCATGGAGAGGACACTGTGATAGGAGAGCCTCTGACAGAATCGGCACATAAGAAAGGCAGTGAGGTGGCCTCCACTTTTGTTTTCCTCCTGTGGACTATAGCTCTTCGGGGTAGGATAATGTCTCTTCCAGGAGTCTTTGGAGCTGTGATATATGGATTGCTGGACAGGGATGAAATAGGTGGTGGGCTGCTAAGAGATGGGCACATCTCTGTGCTACCTTCTGACATTGGCATCTCTCTGCCAGGAGTTGCTGGAATTCTCCCAGAGCTGTACTGAGTCCATCCACTTCTCTCCTCTCTACCAGGAGTTTTAGGTATCTCCTGGTATAACAGGTATGAGGCTGCTGGGAGGTCACTGGGTGCCCGAATGAGCTCACCACTTGCTGGGAAGAGCGAGAGGACTTCATTGACTTCGTCAGAGTCCTCAATTTCCAGTTCAGCCACTATGCCCTTGCCTGGTGTTTGTGGTCTTTCCACCTCTTCCACAGCTGGAGATGTTGGTTTGCTTTTTATCACAAGGTCAGGATCACTGTCCACCAAGCAGCCAGTAGGAGTGACAGGCCTCAGGTTTTCTACGTTCTCTAAAGACTCCACCATCCATTCAGTGCTCTCCATCTCCACATCAAGGTCTGGTTCCACTGCTACACAGATAAGACACAGAATTGTATTTAGGTAATTCATTCAGTACTTTTGTTATATCCCTTTATAGATGGTACTTTAAAAAAGTTACAAGGGCACTCTGCAAGCCTCAAAGTCCTGCACACTGAATATTCAGATAACAGACCTACACCAAACAATATCTGTATATGCTGTCCTGGTGCAGTGAAGTGCACCAGTCTACTGGAATACAGCATGCTGGACATATAACCTGGAAGTCCTATAGGTGAAGGGGGCTGTAGGTCCTCAGGTTTGCTGGTTTGGAGCTCCATCATGGCATCCAAGTCACAAGTGTCTTGGTACTGGTTTTCCTCTGTTTCCTCCCTATGAAACGGATCTGACCAGTCCTGATGGCCCAGGCCCAGCTGAGCACCAGGGGTTAGCGGGGCTGAGGGGGTCAGAGGGGGCTCAAGCTCCACGGACTCTTCATCTGATGATATCACTATACACACATCACTCCTATTGTCCTTACTGTCCTCCTCCATGTCTTCATCTTCAGGACTTAGGTCAGAGTAGGACGAGTCCTCAAAGCTCTCCGAAGAGAGTGAGTCAGAGGAGTCGGATTCTGATGAGTACTCACTCTCTATAGTTGAAAACAGACACAAAAATATGTACTCGGAATTATATAGTTATTCATTAGCTTTTAATGTCACAACTATATGACCATATATCATACCGTTATCTGAGCACTGCACTCCATCAGTAGTTTGGAAGATGATGGACTCATCTTCCTCAGTGTGTTTTTGTGTTGGCTCATTCTCCTCCTCAGGATCATTACCACCACGACCAGCATTCCTGTCACACTAATTACAGCACCAATTATATTATACAGTCTCAAAAATTTCAGTTTATTATATTAAGACTTTGCACAGACACCGGAAAAGTTACAAGGAAAGTTTGTAACGCATCACAGCTGATTACGATCTGTTTATAAAAATACATGTGAGTTATTTATCTGAAGATCAGCTTAATCAAAGGAACATTTTCTATTAAAAACAGAAAACAAGGTTCTATTTGTGTGAAAAATCCCTATTTACCAGGATTTCAAGAGCATCATCAGGTATTATTTCCTCATCTTGAAACATGTTGTCTTCTTCTTTCCTGTCATCATCAACATCATCAGCAGCATCGTCACTGTCAAGCTCGTGTGGTCTTGCATGTCTGCGTCTAGGTCTCACTATGTCATCCCCATGTTTCACATCTTAAGTCCCATGGAAAGAGAGCCATAAAGTTTATCAAGCTACAGTCTGCAAGAAAAAGCTGAAGTAGGTAATCTAAAGTAAATTAGCTACATTAAAAGCACTGACCAGAAATGTCATCAT